TGTGAGCATGTACACTGAACAATAAGGTACCCAAACAATAAAATAAATTCCTTTTATATTTCCCTGCCTTGTTGTTTATGTGTCATACAGAGGAAGAATGTGAGAACAGCACAATTTCTCGTTACTGTGTGCTGTACCGCAGTTCTGTGTCCATGCATGCAGCAAACTGAAAGCACTGGTGTCGGAGCGTCTACGTGAAAGAGAAGGAAGACATTGCTGGTAGTATTGTCTTCAGGGTTGTTAAACACCTCAGCGCAACTGAAGGAAGCCATCTGACTGTGTGAGGGGCAAGATCGTTGATGTCTGCAGGCAGAGTAGGAGCTCTCCTGTCTGACTGGTCCACCAATAGCAGAGAAGATGACCCCTTGAGACACAGCCCCTCTCATTTGCATAATGAGGCAGAAATCATACAAAAATTTAAAAAAGACAGGCGAGAATATATACCATGGGTGAAAATAATAAGGTAATAAATACAAAGGAAGAATAAAACAGACAAAAATATTAAAAACACACATAAATAAATACATTAAAAAAATTAGTAATAAATAAAGTTGAATAAACAAATAAGGTAATTATAAAAGGTGAATAAGTAAAGGCACTAATTAAAATATATACATTATGTCTCCTTGTATAATTTAATTAATACCTACATTTATTTATTACTTTATTTTTTTGTGTATTTAATTGGAAGCTTATTTATTTATTGAGCATTTATTTATTTCTGTATTTATTTCTGACTGTGTCAGGATCGGTCCTCCATAGCGGGGTGGGAGAGTTATCAAGCACGTAAAGTTTGGTTCAGATGTTAGCATGTACACTGAAGTTACAACAACTTCCTGTGTCATGGCGAAGACTTGATCTTTGACGCCACGCCACGGACACACCCATTGACGAAAACTCGCAAATAGCACAACTTTTCATCTTCAATGCCTTTAGAAGGCACAGCACAAATTTGAAGTCGGTCGGACTAAATCCCTAGGAGGAGTTCGTTAAAGTACGAAGTGTGTAAATCATCCAAAATTTGACGTAAAATTCAAAATGGCCGACTTCCTGTTGATTTTAGGGCATCGCTCCGAGAGGCTTTTTTGTGCGTCTGGACAAGATACACGTACCACAGAAAATTCGTGCACGTAGGTGAAACGTGCGGTGGGGGCTGCTTCGTTAAAAGTCACTTCCTGTTGCCAGCAGGTGGCGCTATGACTGTGGGTGAATGTCAGCATGTACATGTGTTCAGGGCGGGACTCTCATCCTACATGTACAGTTTGGTGCAGATGTGAGCATGTACACTGAAGTTACGACAACTTCCGTGTCATGGTGAAGAGCTGATCTTTGACGCCACGCCACGGACACGCCCATTGACGAAAACTTGCAAATAGCACAACTTTTCATCTTCAATGCCTTTAGAAGGCACAGCACAAATTTGAAGTCGGTCGGACTAAATCCCTAGGAGGAGTTCGTTAAAGTACGAAGTGTGTAAATCATCCAAAATTTGACGTAAAATTCAAAATGGCTGACTTCCTGTTGATTTTAGGGCATCGCTCCAAGAGGCTTTTTTGTGCGTCTGGACAAGATACACGTACCACAGAAAATTCGTGCACGTAGGTAAAACGTGCGGCGGGGGCTGCTTCGTTAAAAGTCACTTCCTGTTGCCAGCAGGTGGCGCTATGACTGTCTGTGAATGTCAGCATGTACATGTGTTCAGGGCGGGACTCTCATCCTACATGTACAGTTTGGTCCAGATGTGAGCATGTACACTGAAGTTACGACAACTTCCGTGTCATGGCGAAGAGCTGATCTTTGACGCCACGCCACGGACACGCCCATTGACGAAAACTTGCAAATAGCACAACTTTTCATCTTCAATGCCTTAGAAGGCACAGCAGAAATTTGAGGTCGGTCGGACTAAATCCCTAGGAGGAGTTCGTTAAAGTACGAAGTGTGTAAATCATCCAAAATTTGACGTAAAATTCAAAATGGCCGACTTCCTGTTGATTTTAGGGCATCGCTCCAAGAGGCTTTTTGTGCGTCTGGACAAGATACACGTACCACAGAAAATTCGTGCACGTAGGTAAAACGTGCGGCGGGGGCTGCTTCGTTAAAAGTCACTTCCTGTTGCCAGCAGGTGGCGCTATGACTGTGGGTGAATATCAGCATGTACATGTGTTCAGGGTGGGACTCTCATCCTACATGTACAGTTTGGTCCAGATGTGAGCATGTACACTGAAGCTACGACAACTTCCTGTGTCATGGCGAAGACTTGATCTTTGACGCCACGCCACGGACACGCCCATTGACGAAAACTCGCAAATAGCACAACTTTTCATCGTCAATGCCTTTAGAAGGCACAGCAGAAATTTGAGGTCGGTCGGACTAAATCCCTAGGAGGAGTTCGTTAAAGTACGAAGTGTGTAAATCATCCAAAATTTGACGTAAAATTCAAAATGGCCGACTTCCTGTTGGGTTTAGGCTATGGCTCCAAGAGACTTTTTTGTGCGTCTGGACAAGATACACGTACCACAGAAAATTCGTGCACGTAGGTGAAACGTGCGGCGGGGGCTGCTTTGTTAAAAGTCACTTCCTGTTGCCAGCAGGTGGCGCTAAGACTGTGGGTGAATGTCAGCATGTACATGTGTTCAGGGCGGGACTCTCATCCTACATGTACAGTTTGGTCCAGATGTGAGCATGTACACTGAAGTTACGACAACTTCCGTGTCATGGCGAAGAGTTGATCTTTGACGCCACGCCACGGACACGCCCATTGACGAAAACTTGCAAATAGCACAACTTTTCATCTTCAATGCCTTTAGAAGGCACAGCACAAATTTGAAGTCAGTCGGACTAAATCCCTAGGAGGAGTTTGTTAAAGTACGAAGTGTGTAAATCATCCAAAATTTGACATAAAATTCAAAATGGCCGACTTCCTATTGGGTTTAGGCTATGGCTCCAAGAGACTTTTTTGTGCGTCTGGACAAGATACACGTACCACAGAAAATTCGTGCACGTAGGTAAAACGTGCGGCGGGGGCTGCTTCGTTAAAAGTCACTTCCTGTTGCCAGCAGGTGGCGCTATGACTGTGGGTGAATATCAGCATGTACATGTGTTCAGGGTGGGACTCTCATCCTACATGTACAGTTTGGTCCAGATGTGAGCATGTACACTGAAGCTACGACAACTTCCTGTGTCATGGCGAAGACTTGATCTTTGACGCCACGCCACGGACACGCCCATTGACGAAAACTCGCAAATAGCACAACTTTTCATCGTCAATGCCTTTAGAAGGCACAGCAGAAATTTGAGGTCGGTCGGACTAAATCCCTAGGAGGAGTTCGTTAAAGTACGAAGTGTGTAAATCATCCAAAATTTGACATAAAATTCAAAATGGCCGACTTCCTATTGGGTTTAGGCTATGGCTCCAAGAGACTTTTTTGTGCGTCTGGACAAGATACACGTACCACAGAAAATTCGTGCACGTAGGTGAAACGTGCGGCGGGGGCTGCTTCGTTAAAGGTCACTTTCTGTTGCCAGCAGGTGGCGCTATGACTGTGGGTGAATGTCGGCATGTACATGTTTTCAGGGCGGGACTCTCATCCTACATGTACAGTTTGGTGCAGATGTGAGCATGTACACTGAAGTTACAACAACTTCCTGTTTCATAGCGAATCATCAACGCCACGGACACGCCCATTGACGAAAACTCGCAAATAGCACAACTTTTCATCGTCAATGCCTTTAGAGGGCACAGCAGAAATTTGACGTCGATCCGACTAAATCCCTAGGAGGAGTTCGTTAAAGTACGAAGTGTGTAAATTCAAAATTCCGTAAAATTCAAAATGGCCGACTTCCTGTTGACTTTAGGCTATGGGTTCTTGAGGCTTTTTTGTGCGTCTTGATATGATACATGTCCCCAGAAAATTTCGTAGATGTAGGTTGAACGTGAACGAGGGGCTAATTTTTTCCAATTTTCTAGGTGGCGCTAGCGAGTCATTTTGCAACGCCCATGTGCGAAACTTGTAGAAAACGAAATTTTTCACCGGTTCTGACATGTTTGCAAATTTTGGTGAGTTTTCGAGTATGTTTAGGCCATGTCAGTTGGGCCTTCTTTGCAGAAAAAAGAAAAAAAAAAAAATATATATATATATATATATAATCCGATCAAATTCAATAGGGACCTCACGCGGTCGTGCTCGGGCCCTAATAATCCGAGCAAATTCAATAGGGACCTCACACGGTTGTGCTCGGGCCCTAAGTATAATCCGAGCAAATTCAATAGGGACCTCACACGGTCGTGCTCGGGCCCTAATAATCCGAGCAAATTCAATAGGGACCTCACAGGTCGTGCTCGGGCCCTAATTAAAGCTGCAAGCAGCGTGGGGCCCTAAATATATAATCTTAGCAAATTCAATAGCAAATTCAATAGGGACCTCATACGGTCGTGCTCGGTCCCTTAAAAGGGCAAGGAGTGAGACAAAGAAGCGGCCCCGTCCATTCATTGTCCGCCCAGCCAATTAGCTCGCAGATATGCAAATAACCTCGAAGCACCGCAACGCCCCCGCCCAGGTGGTGACGTCACCAGCACGCCTCTCTGCCTGTCAGTCGCGCAGACCGAAGAAACAGAGGAGCGGAGGGACGCTCTTCTTGTGAAGAACGGATATGTTTCTATCTCCGCCGCGGGCTCTGGAATAAACAGGCTTTTTCCTCGCCGTCTTTCCGTGAGATAGCACAGCCCCCGGGTCGGCTCAGAGAAGGACATAGACATCTAGTGTCCGTCGGGAAAATAAGGTTTTTTTGCACTGGGTCCGGTGTCTCTCTCCCCTCGTCCTCCCCTCCCCTCCCCTCTCACTGCTTTTACACCCTTCGATCCTGCTACGCTGCTAAGAGGCACTGATGCCCAGTTCGCTCTTCGCCGATAGCAGCGTCCAGGGAGATGCACTGGACGACCAGAGAGCCCTGCTGATCACTCTGGATCAGCTCTCCCTGCTGGGCTTGGACAACGATAACCCCCTGTACGACAACAACCAGGAGCCCCGGAAAAAGAGCGTCAACATGACCGAATGCGTCGCGGTTCCGAGCTCCGAGCATGTGGCCGAGATTGTGGGCAGACAGGGTGCGTGTTTCAGTGTTTCTACACAGTTGGGTAGCCTATATTTGCCATGTTATGCAGCTGAGCAGTATAGGGACGGCAATGCACCCAAACACTTCAGTTATTAGCACGTCCGGATCTGTTCTGCTGTGGGAGGAACAGAATGCCGATACGCTAAATACGGAATTATTTCAACGTCTTGCTTGTCTACTCACGCACTAGGGTTTAATGCCATCTCTAAATATGTAGGCATCACCCATGAATTCGGCATGTATAAATTCCACCAGACAGCAATCAGTTCAATAAAACGCTAACGTGTTACTGTCTCGCCAGTTTGTCACCCATTGTTCGTCCTGTATGCAGGGTTGGGCGGCAGCCAGCATAATAGGATTTTAAAAAGTTGACCTTAAAGTGAAATAACTGCCTACTGGGATGATTATGGAGACCTATGCCGGATTGAAGAGTGCCTCGAACAATTATTACAAATTAAATAATTACAATTTTGAATGGAGTTTAGTTTAGAAGAAAAATCACATACAGGGACTATGTAAAATCCCTGTATATTAAATTTAAAGACTACAGACATGTTATTTGAATCATTATGCTTAATGAAGACAGGTAGTTCACTGAACTGTGGGCTCATTGCCTCTTAATAAATCTGGATCTGTTGTCTTTGAAAACAGCCTGCAAATAATTGCCAGATTTATTTGATGATTATGATGCTGAGCAGCACAGGATCAAATTAGGTCAATGGTCACAATCTTACTTTGCCACAGACCTTGGAAACAGTCTTTAAGCTGTGGGGCTAAAGGCCGGTATTGGTGCTTACAAATGCAGAATATTTTCCTTCCCTGCAATACTGCTGCTGTTCCCAGGAAAAAAAGCAGTTGTAAAGAATCACTAATAACTTCCACCCTCCACTTTAAAGTGACAACAGTGGGACTTTTCTGAATTAGAACTATTTACATAAGGTACCCCCCTCCACCTCCCATCTCTTTTTGTCAGGTTATATCAGGTTATAATTGGTAAATGTCTATTAACTGTGACAGCCGGGATTTTTTTAAGGAAGTGAGCCCAAGCGGAAACCTTCCGGTCTCATTTCTGTAGGAAGTAACTAAAACTGCAATTCATCGAGTGGCCACTTGAGGCTGGCTCCAAAAGATAGTCACTCTCCATTGACTATCTTTTGGAGCCAGGTGGCTGCTGCCGCTGTGACTGCTAACCGTCTGCCCTCCTTCTGTTAGCTCAGCTAATACAGGGTGCTTCTCAAGTCTCTTATTTGTCGTTTCCTCGCTTGAACCGGAAGTTGTTCTGCTCCGCCATCTTGCAGACCTAAAGCTCTTATTTGCACCTCGGGGAGCGAGGTACGGGGACTGACCGACACAGCCCTTAATGGGTAGCTGTTATATTGTTGATGCAGCTGATGGGATTGATCTGATACATCACGACAGATAACTTGATTGAACTCAAGTGTTTAACTAACTCTTATAGCCTATTTGATTTGACTTTCTTCATTTATTAGAAAGATCTTTTCTTTCTCCCATCAACTTTTGTTATGGAGACAATTAAAGTCAGAGAGAAAAAAATAAATTGGATAATAAAATTGGATTGATATGATGGAATGCAGTAATCAATCAGTGACGAGTGATGTGACTTGCAAATAAAATGTATGCAGTAGTGTTAAAGGATATCAGAAGAGGAAATAAACGGAAAGCCAAAAACTGAGTGTCAACTTTGATACAAGCTACATCATTTCAATTGCCCTGAAACATTTAACCTAATAAATCCAAAGACACCATGATCACCTTCTGGGTTATTCAATAATGAATTCACAATCAGAATCAATAAATATAAATGCAGATAATATTAGCATTGTGCCAGTAGAAATGATCCTCTGAGCAGGACATACAGTAACCTACAGAGAGAGAATCATGCTGCTCTGCACTGAGAACTGGGAGATTTTAATAGCATCAGTACAATGCAGAATGCAGACACAAACTCCATCAAAAGTCTCTACAGCTGTTAGAGCCGACTGACAGCTGATCCAGCTGTGATCAGCTGGCGCCTTCATGAGAAACAGAAATGCTTCATGTGACGTTTCGGAGGAAAGGACGTCTCATGTCACTAGAAACATACTTCCTCGTTCCTTCTCTCCTGGCTTGGAAAAGATGCAAGTGAGGGAAACGTGGATGCAATTAAGAGACTTGCACCCACAGTGCGCACAGAGCACTGGAGCTTTGCCCTGTTTGCCTTTTGGAGATTTCTTCATGTAGATACTGTACGAATAATGGCATGCTGTGCGATTTATTGGAGAGAGAACCTCCAGGAAGTCCGTGCTTCAGTTGGTGAGTGAAATTCTTGTATTTTATTTATGTGTTAACAATAGTTAACAGGCATTGCTGCCAAAACATAGCTTGTTAGCTTAGCTCGTTACGCTAAAAGAGTCAAAAAAGAAGTCAGCAAGAAGAGAGAAGCCAAAATGTATTGGAGAAGTGTTAGACATCAGGGTGATACTTTAAAGAAAAGGCAAATCAAAAAATGCAAATCAAGTAATACAGTTCAACAAGAAACATAAAATAAATATACATAGAGCTGACTTCAGTGGTCAACAGGTGTGTAGCAGCATAGATTGTTGCACCTTGCCTATCAGCATAGATTATTACTGCACAGTGTCCAGCAGCAAGATTAATATTGTACATATTAGTAAACAGTGTATTGCACATTAGCACCCTACTTACTTTTACATGCCAGAGAAGTTATGCCATCTCACAGTTCAGTAGCTTCATGGCAGTTGGGGAAAAACTGTGTCCTGTCAGTAACTCTGTACCCATCTTGTCTTTACAGGTCCCAGAGGAGCTAATTGGAGAACCCATCCAGATGTGGTTTTCTGTGTCCAGCTTTACATGAAATAACTGTCACAGTTTCCAGGATGACTCTTTCCACTCCTGCACCTTACTGCTTTGTTTAGCCTTTTCTTTTCGTTTTTTTACTCCACAACACCATAACAGGTTCTATCAGTATAAATACTGTTACAATAACAAGTCATTCACAACAACTTTTACATTTGTAATCTTTTAAGATTGATGTTTTCATGAAGGCAAGACACAATTTTAAATAGTTAAATTATTGTTTATGTATTGGGAATCATTTTTGTTGTAAAATGGATCAGTCTAAATTTACTTAAAATAAAATCACATTCTTCATTCATCAGTTTCCTATGTTAATTGGAAATAGTGTGATCTAAACTTAACAATATATGATAGTTAACAGCTGTAAATGAAACTATTATGGCCTGTGTCCACCAAAGCGTTTTTTCCTGAGACAAGCATCTTTTTTTCAATTCATTGCAATGGGACACATGATAAAAATGGCAGCAGCATGATGAGGCGCTGAGCGTCTTTTCCACGCTGGGCATTTTTAAAAATAATTTTATGTTCTGAATTGTCACCGGCCCCCTGAATTTTGTGTTTCCCTTTATATAAATAAAGACATTTCCACCATAAATTGATGCAGAAAATGTCTCCAGGATTCAGGAAATTAAGTTTTTAATGTTCAAAATCTTCTGAGGGAGAAACCCCCCAGACCACCACTTCTATATTTCATCAATAAATATTTTTTCTAAATAGTATTAAAATATATTCTTGTCTTGTTCTCATTAGGGGTTAGGTAAAGGGTTAGGGTTAGGTGATGCAGTCCTAACTTTGGTTAACTGTCTTAATGACTGAGGTGAGGGTTTTTTTCAGCATCGCGTTGGCTAATCCCACGCTGCTGTGAAAATGACTTTTAGGCTACTTGTACTTGATTATGAGTTTATTTACTACACGGAAACCTCTGATCACCATGGAGTCAGTAAGTAGTAGTGAGCGTGAATGAGTGCACTGATTCACTTGCACTGGTTCAGTGGAATATTACAGTAGGTACACATGTTATATGGAAGGATGGTGTATTGGTGAGGATTGTTAGACCGATTTGGGCAAAAAATGCCAGGCCCAGGCCAGCCCTGCTCCCAGCTAGTCGTTTTAAGAAGAGCAGGCAGCGTTTTCAGCTGGTAAAAAATGTTTTGGTGGACACAAGCCCATTAGATGTTGAGAGCTCTCTGAGAAGATATTTTGTGATTCTGTTTGCGACCTGTCCTGTCTTTTCTCCGTGAGATGGAATAATTTTGAAAAGTTGCGTGGCGCTGTGGAGAGCCCCCAGCTGCAGTACTGCATGGATCATGCGTAATATTTATCCAGCCAGACGGAACGATCAAGAACCGTTCCCAGCGCGGCAGCCGAACTAGCGACACAACCCGTACCGGAGACGGACTGGGGCGGAACAGGGACAGGAGATCGAGGAGCGACTGGCCCGCTGCTGACGGTCTGTGATTGTTCCCTCTGGCTGGATGAAGTCTGACACTCCTGAATTTATGCATGGATCCATGATGATAGAGAAATATAGAAATTACAACAATAAAGCATGCTGTCAATATTTTAGAGACCCCCGAAAATATCACAAATCATGCTTTTAGGGGAGCTAAGCTCCCCCTGGCTCCCCCTTAGTTCGCACCCTGATTTCAAGCTCTTTTTTGTTTTCATCTTGGTGAGTACAGTTTACTGCTCATTGAAATAAAAACTCCAGTATCTCAATGTATTAAAATTTTAGAATAAATACAATTCTGTATTTTAAATTATACAGAAATGTCAACCTGAGACAAGCTAACTAATCAACTAACTCTAAACACCTGCAAAGGTTTCTGAAGCCTTTAATCTCTCTGGTCAAATAACTACTCTTTGTCACGCTGTCTCAAAGCGTCTGTATTTGATGCACTGAGATGAGAACGTGTTGCATATTGCATTAGCCTGAGCTAACTCTTTCACATCAAACTAGGTGGGCGTGGTTTTAGCAACCGGTCACCTTTGCTTCACCATCACGACCCCTCCATTTTTGGTTATGGAGGAGTGATGCGCATTTGCACGCTGCCAAGTTGGCAACGATTGGCTCCGCCCACTTTGGGCTTCAAAACTGCTCAACTGCTCTTCGGAAATGGACACTACATCCATTTTTATATACAGTCTATGAGTGAGCCTCATAAAAGAGACCATATCAACCTATCCTAATCTAACCTACATCTGTTTGATACTAAAGCATTATGAATTTATGTTTATGGCTGTTTAGACTGAGTTTAGTTGGGTTTACCCTCCTCTACATCCCTGGTTACATCACCCTATCCCACTCGGCTGGCTTTGCGTTGCTAATTATGTCATCCTTCTAAAGCTGTTCTCCTTCTAGAGATGTGTGTATCTGCTTGAGGGTCTTGGAATGCAACTTTATGCACCTGCGCTAGGCTATCGAAATGATTAAGTCGCTTTCCCCATCTTTCTATAATGCTATTAGTATAGAAAAGGAATCAAAGAGTCTACCAGTAGCTGATACAATAAACAGGGATTATCCTGGATCCAGAAAGGGGTTTTCTGTTGTGGGTTATATTTGTACTGCCGTATATCCATGGTGGTGTGGCATGTGCTTAGAATTTGTTCTTCTCTGAAAGGCCACTGGCCTTTTGAGAGACAATAATAAACATCTAGCAGCTGAATGGTTCATAAGTCAAGGTTTAACACGTGACATATTTTGAGAAGTTGTTATTTTGGATATGCCCTCAGTTTCTCGTTTTGCTTTCATGTCTCAGGTTGCAAGATCAAAGCGCTGCGAGCAAAGACTAACACCTACATAAAGACCCCAGTTCGAGACGAGGAGCCTGTTTTTGTGGTGACCGGCAGGAGGGAGGAGGTGGCTATGGCCAGGAGGGAAATCATCTCTGCTGCAGAGCACTTCTCCATGATCCGAGCCTCCAGGAACAAAAACACCAGCCTGAACGGAGGTAGCACCCCAGTCCTTGGACCACCCAACCTGCCCGGACAGACCACTATCCAGGTCCGGGTGCCTTACCGTGTTGTGGGACTGGTTGTAGGTCCCAAGGGTGCCACCATCAAGCGCATCCAGCAGCAGACTCACACCTACATTGTGACACCCAGCCGAGACAAGGAGCCAGTGTTCGAGGTGATGGGGATGCCAGAGAATGTGGACAGAGCACGTGAAGAGATCGAAGCGCACATCACCATGAGGACAGGAGGCCTTATTGAACTCCAGGATGAAAATGACTTCCACGCAAATGGGACCGATGTGGGTTTTGATCTGCACGGGCATGCCACCCTGTGGTCCAAGCCCAGCACCGGGATGACCCCCATCTCAGAACGTAAACCCTTCTCCAACCACCGCAATGACTCGTCCTCCTCCACAGACTCCTACTTTGGTAACAACAACTCATGTATAGCCGACTACAGCCCTCCCAGCCCCAGACTCAGCTACACCACCACCAACGGTAACAACAATAACAATAACATCAGTGTCAACACCAATGGCAATGCATTGGTTTACGAAACTGAGGTGATTTCACCTGACTGCATGACTTTTGACTCCTCATTAGGGTTTGACCCCACTTCAGCCCCACCGGGCCTTTTGTGGTCCCAGTACGATAGTCACACGACCCCGTCATCCACCAGAGGCAACTCCCCCACCTCCACCTCAGCCATGTTCCCCAACAACACCTCCACTAATGCCAATGTGATAATTATGAGTCAGAGAAGGGTTTATGGTTGTACCCCACAGCCCAGACTGTCGCCTCCTCTCCACAGCCACACAGGATGCCACATTGAGCACCTGTTAGCCCGTGGGATGTGCAGTGACCCAGGCGGAGGCCCACTCAGTTTCCCTGGTTACTCCAGCCCTATCGGCTGTCTGGCGGGCCCTCACCTCCCTGGAGTTTCATGCGACTCCTTCACCTCGTCATCGTCCTCCTCTTCTTCCACCTCCTCTGGCACCAGCCGAAAAGGCAGTCGCGACTGTTCGGTGTGCTTTGAGAGCGAGGTCATTGCAGCCCTGGTCCCCTGTGGGCACAACCTCTTCTGTATGGAATGTGCCAATCGTATCTGTGAGAGGAGAGAACCCAAATGCCCTGTCTGCCACACTGGTGTCACTCAGGCTATACGTATATTTTCATAAGAAGTGTAACTCTGACTGTATCAGCAGCAAGACTGGCTACAATAGCTGCAACAGACTCTTTATACTGCTTTAATTGGTTCACATTTACCAGTTTGTAAAGTGTACATAGATATACATTTGTATGTAAGAGGCTACAGTATCCAGAAGAAGGGACAGACATCCTTTGTGGGCTTTGTTGTAGTTGTTTGTGCTATACTGTCGCTTGGGGACATTTTTTCAACATTTAAGAGGATGTTTTAAATATTACAGCATAGTATTCAATAGTTCAAGTAAGTTGTACTCTACATGTGAAATATAGGGTGAAGTGAAGAGTAGGGATGCCACAATTATAGATTTTGTTGGTACGATTATATAGTGAGGAATAATCATGGTTTCAAGATTATCACAATTATAATGCATTAAATTAATTTAACACTATTAAATACTTATACTTAGATTTATAATTTATAATTATAATTAGATTTTTTATATTTAATAACATTAACAAATTGTTATTAAGGAGGGGAATAAACTGAACTGTTATTGTCATCAACTCTCATTCATACATATAAGTTTTAGTGAAAATGATTTGAGAACATCAAGTTTATAAGGTCCTGATGTTATGTTAGTGTTTTGAATCTGCCATTTTCTTTGGTGGAATTAAAGCTTTTGGTCCCACTGCCAGAGTTTAGCCAGTGTACAGTAGTAGCCTTCATGTCTCTGATAAGCATGGAACTTTAAGCTGGCACGGTGCACTTTTTGTTTTCGTTTTGTGCAAGTTGCAACAATTCCTTTCACTGCAACAGAAACACTCGGTGTAGTGGAGCCTTTACGATTAATTAACTGAGACGTTTTAAAGCGTAGTTAATTGTGAAATCCGGTAATTGCTGCATCCCTAGTAAAGAGACACGGTGGGGCCAGGACGGATGTAGGTGGGTCTAACTCTAGACTGTTAGCAGGGCTGAGCCTTCTAGTTTTCATGATTGAATCTAGTAAGAGGGGAGTCCATTACTGGGAAACACGGAGGGCTTCCTGCCAAACAGGACCATTGACGTACAAAGATATTGCAGACACCAAATGGAGGGCAACAACATATCCTACATATACAATACATGGACAAAAGTATTTAGACACCTACACATTAATTTTATGACATCCCATTCTAATCCATAAGCATTAATATGGAGTTGGTCCACCCTTTATAGCTATAATATCTTCTACTGTTGTGGGAAGACAATATTTTGGAGTTTGTCTATTGGAATTTTTGCCCATTCGTTTAGAAGAGCTTTTGAGAGGTCCAACACTGACGTTGGATGAGGGGGCCTGGTGCGAAATCTCTGTTCCAGGTACTCCCAAAAGTATTGGATAGATTTTTTTGACTTGAAAGATTATATTTCTTATTGCAAAGATGTTTACAGGTATTTTAATTTTAAATTCAGTGAAGTTTTTGTGGCTGGATTGAAATATTATTTTTTAGCATGACCATATGGCACTGTATATCACACAATTTTGACAGTATGCTGTTGGGATGGAGATTTTTATTGGTTCAGCAAAAAATGTCTTAAATATGCTTCATCCAGGATATTTTTTATTTATTTATTTTATTCTATATTATTATGAAACATTGAAATGTACAAAATCAAGTAAGTTGAACACAAAGAAACCGTTAAATATGTATGAATTAGATTCCAGTGGGAATTACAGGCTTCTGTTGTACCACCATAGTTTTAGTATTTCTATTTTAATACATTTGTTTACCACTTGTTTATGTGTAAGTTACTTGAGCGTAAATGTACTTTATTGAGCAAAGTTTAAGAACAAAGTGTATTTTATTTTATGATAAAGGGCCTTTAACCTCATGGTCAAATACTAATATTATATTTGCTGAAACAAGATTTGAAAATGTATCAAGAGTTTTATTTTTTCTGATATTTAAAGTTATACATTTTAAAAAGTAAAACTTAAGTAATGGTGCTACTGTTTTTTTTAAGTATTTCTATATAAGTCCAATAAAAACGGTACATTTACAAGGTGTTCCCTGTTTGTTTGTTCTGCTGTTGTTTAGAGCAGACAGAGGTGAGCTGGGAGGCTGTTGAGAATTGTATTGTAAAGTGTAATAGTTTCTGAACATTTGACTCCTTTTGTATTGGAGGCAGCAGGATTAGTGGTCTAATTATATTACAGTCAGACAGAGGGGGACTTGGCCTGCTTTATTACTAATTACAAGTAATTTGTGAACCTATTCTTATACAGACTGGTAAAACGACCATAATCTGGTTCTTCTGGGTAGGGATGAACCGATGAAACAGTTCACCACGATACTAAGAATTGAACGAGAATTGAAATTGAATACAATAAATGTTGATTGATTGCCATGATGTCATTCAATGTTGGTTTGTAATGAGGGCTGCTTATCAAACCTCACATTTTACAAAAAATCGCAAAACTAATTTTGTCTTTTTTTTAATTTAGTATTTTAATATAGGCTATGTGGTTGTTTATATTAAAGCTAAATAAAATAAATAAATTTTCTATATTTTGTTAAATTGAAAACCTTTATGAAAATTTCAATTCAAAATTAAAGCTGCAAGCAGCGTTGGGCGGGCCCTCGCACATGTAGCGCGTCGGGGTGTGAGGTGGCCGCGTTGCATATTCTGGAGCTCTGCCGGTGTGGCTGTGAATTTGCTATGCGCTTCGAACGCAGCATTAAGGTGTTATATGTCACTTCCTGTGTCCCCTTTGTGGCGCTACATAGTACTTGGCACTAACACTAGAAATGAATATTGACGTATAGATGTGTTCGGGGCGGGACAGTTATCAAGCACGTAAAGTTTTGTGCAGATGTGAGCATGTACACTAAAGTTACAACAACTTCCTGTTTCATGGTGAATCATTGACGCCACGGACCTTTAGAAGGCACAGCAGAAATTTTAAGTCGGTCCGACTAAATCCCTAGGAGGAGTTCGTTAAAGTACGGAGTGTGTAAATGATCCAGAAATGACCATAAAATTAAAAATGACCGACTTCCTGTTGAGTTTAGGATATGGTTTCTTGAAGCTTTTTTGTGCGTCTTGATATGATACATGTCCCCAGAAAATTTCGTGCATGTAGGTTGAACATGGACGAGGGGCTAATTTTTTCCAATTTTCTAGGGGGTGCTAGCCAGTCATTTTGCCACGCCCATGAGAGAACACAGTGTTAACTTGTTCTATGAAATTCATCACAGTACACAAATACACACGTCAGTCAGAATGCAAAAGAATATACTCACATGAAAAATTGTCACCTGGCTCCCAGTAATGCAGCAACTCTGTGAAGAGCCCGTGAGATGCTGGAGTGGTAGGGGCTGGGGCTAAACTGGGGTTTGGGGTGACTGTAGTAAATGCAGGGAGAGAATTTATGGGGGGGGGGGCAGGAGGAAGGGATTTCTTATGTGGAGGGGAACAGTCCTCCTCTGCTGAAGACAGTTCCAGACCAGGTGGGCCAAGCCGAACACTCTTCCTATTTGAATGAATAAACACACAATCAATCAAAATTAAATGGAAATAATATTTAATAAGAAACTGGTCTTTAAAGATAACTTGAAAGGGGAAAGGCAAATTATTCTCTAATAATGAGCAAATTGACATACGTTTTATGCCTTAGTGGCCTTTTACATGACTTACAGTCAGACAGAGTTTCTGCCTCCTTTGCCTTCTTTCTTCCCTCTTCATAACAGACTGTAAAACACAGATGCAATGCACATTATTCAGTCTCCTTAGGATCACTCTGCAATACAATAAATTTGAATATAATTGAGTACTTTGTGGTAATCGTCAGCCTCTGCTACATTAAAAGAATATTATACTGTATCTTAGCCAATGGTCATGTATACCAAAATCCATTATAATAAGTTAACTATGAACCATGAGATGCAATTAGCTGAATTTGGCAGAAACTGTATTGGATTAGAATTAACCCTTAGGAGTCTTGTGCTATTTTAGCCTGACATTGACATATTTACATAAGATTTAGAAGACTAAATCTTAAAGCGGCACTGCTCATGTTCAATAAACATACTATTTTTCATACTACATTCTAATTTTAAACTTACTATAAACATACTGAAAGAGTTTAACTTTCCACTATTACAAAGTTTTTTGTAAGAATATTAAGAAATCACTTACCAGGGCCAGTTGGACTATGATTAAAGTCATACTCTAAGGGCCAATTTCACAGACAAGGTTGAAACCTAGTCCTAGACTAAAACCTTTTCAATAGAGATCATCATTGAATTTTTGTTTTAGTCATATGTGTATGTGTAAACAGTGATTAATCAAAAATACATTTATATACAGTATATATAGTGAATATTATATATGACACATTCTATATTGTGTAGAACATTAAGATTAATGTTCCCTCTGAAGACAATGTTCTAAATGGCATCATTGACAGTAGTGGCACTGCAACAAAGGTGTCATGATTTGGTAACCTCACATATTTCTGAACATGTCCATGTAGCTCAACAACTTTAAGCTGTGATGAGATTTTACCGACCTGGTAGATACCCAACTTGCATGAGTTCAGAGGATACTGAAAAAAAGGTTCCATCAACTCATATTCTCTGATGACAATGTAAATCTTGTGTTGTGACTGCAGGATGTTTTCGATCAAAGCAATGCGGTCATCAATCTTTAGACATCTGTCTCCCTCATTTGATAAATTAAATTTGGTACCAGCAATGACAATCTCTTGAAACTGAACAACCAGCATGTCCACAACAGAGGATGGAACTGGTCCACGGCTATGCTCCTTGTGCAACTCTCTCTTCTCTTGTAAAGCCTCATTCTCTGTTAAATTATCCATTTCAGAGATTCGCCGAATAACTTGAGCCAATGGATGGTGCGGAGTTCTTACCATCTTTTTCATCTTACCCAAGTAATCTTCGAATTGAAATCCAGATATTAAGTCCAGATGTACATCGCCAGAAAGATACATTAGCCCATGAACATTATAACTAACAAATTCAGGACCATAAGAGAGAAATATACATGACATTCCATCAAACTCATTTTTGACAGCTATTTCCGGTCCCGCCCCCACACCAGATGTCTGTATGTAACTGATAAGAGGGGTGTATACCGTCCTGCCCCAACCGGAAATATGTCTGTATGTAACTGATAAGAGGGGTGCATCTGGTCCCGCCCCAACCGGAAATATGTCTGTGTGTAACTGATAAGAGGGTTGCGTACATCCTTCCATTGTGTGTTTTTCATTGATTTAAAGACTTTATTAAGTAATACAACTTGAATGAATTAACTAGGAGGTGTTTATGACAATAAATTTATCATTAAAAAAGTATAGCAGTGAGTTATAAGTAAAGGAGGAATCTCCGGGGCCAGCAAAGGATCAGAAGGAGGTTTCTTCATTGATTTGGAATCAAGTCAGTCTTTATTATTAAACAAGTGAAGAATAAATTGAAATAATTACAGTAAAGCAGTAAAATGGTATAACGGTGAGTAAAAATAAAACAGCATTATACAGTAAATTACCTTCAACAGCATGCAGCAAAATAAGAGTGAGTTCCAAAATTAAACTTTGTAAAATCTTTGCTAAAGCTTTGTGTGACAAACTTACCATCATTAAAGAACTAAAGAATAAATTGAAATAATTACATTAAAATAGTATAACAGTGAGTTAAAATTAAACAGCATTATAAATTACCTTCAACAGCATGCAGCAAAATAAGAGTGAGTTCCAAAATTAAACTTTGTAAAATCTTTGCTAAAGCTTTGTGTGACAAACTTACCATCATTAAAGAACTAAAGAATAAATTGAAATAATTACAGTAAAATTGTATAACAGTGAGTTAAAATTAAACAGCATTTTAAATTACCTTCAACGGCATGCAGCAAAATAAGAGTGAGTTCCAAAAACTTTGTAAAATCTTTGCTAAAGCTTTGTCTTACAAACTTGCCATCATTATCACTCAAAAGCTGTAGCCTAGTCTTAAACGTGTGAGTCTGTGTCTCCTCTTCTCTGTCCTCTCACTCTTTCTGGTGTAGCATAGGCTGTGGGGTGAATTGAGGAATGTGCTCCACCCCCCGGACCTCCTTCCCTCCCTCCCTCCCTCTGTTTGTCATTAGCATCTTCAGGTAATCTTGTAGACCAGTTATGGAATAGAGTTATCTATAACCCCAGACTCCGGTTGTTAAAAACGGTCTGGGTTTATCAGACAGAGTTCGTTTTCGAAACAGGAACCTGTTTTTATCAGCCAGAGACAAGAGTTTGGAACTACAGACTATATATAATAATCTGGTTGTACCAGAAGCAATAGTCCCCAACCCCTCACCAGTTATTTCCCACATGCTGTCACATACAAAATAAGAGGGTGGGCAGAGTTCCCGTGAGCCAATGATAAGAGACTAGGAGGGGTTACCATAGGCCAATGATGGGAGTCTGTGAAAATAAAACGAGAACATTGTCTTCAAGAAATTGCCAAGAGGGCACTTGGATCCTTGAGCAGTATCTACCTACCAAAGAGGGGACCTCCATGCGGTTAATTTTTTTCAGCTAATGAGTGTTTGTATCTCTTAAAGACTTTGTGTTTCTTTCAAAAATGGAGATTTTGACATCAGTGTTAGTAATATTTAAACATTTCTCTGTGATACAAAAATATTCAGGGCCACTTTATTGAGAATTTACAGTTTTACCTGTTATTCAGAAATAACTTGGATGCATGCACAAATATCAAAGATTGCAGTATTAGCAGCAAAAGATACTTTATCCAGGGATCAATTATATAAAATGTCTTATTACACTAGTGCACTCATTTAAACTTTCTCTTAGGGGAATTCAGGTTTGTCTGTGGTGGTTGGTCATTTTTATGACCTTTGTGGAATGGTGACGTATGCCTTTTTAAAGGGCCTTCATCTTTATCTTATTTTGTATTTGCTCTTCATAATTATAAATTAGGACTAAAATGCTCAGCAGCATTTTCCTATTTAATTTTTTTTTTTGTAAGTAATCACTAAAACAGGTTTATCAA